AGAACGGAGTAGCCGGATTAATGATGTCTGGAGAGAACTAGGAGCAAAGGGGCGGTTCATTGAACCGTGAAATCTGGTCATGGAGGAGCCATGTGATACACAGCGTTCTCATGCTCTTCACTACCAACTTTCCAGGAGCAGATGCTGTTTACACCTTACCGCATTAACATCAGAATATGTTCATACATCCGAATTTGTTAAAATACGCATGAATGCTTAAATGCATGCAAGACGAGTTTTTGCGGCGTACTGTACGACTCCCTTGCTCCTAGTTTCCTAGTGGCAGTAAGTCAGGTCACGGCTCTGTGGTATTTGATGACCTGCATTGACAGATGCTTTGAGGTCGTTCGCTAGAGCCGAACGATTTAGCTCACTGTTTCAGGAGCTGACATTCCATATAGGCAACCGCATATATATCACAGCATATTCATACTCTGGAGTATGCGTCAGGCGCCTAACTTCTCCAAGAGCCTGCAACGGGTCGTTGAGTCACATTGTGAATTCTTGTTTTGAAGGGGTTGCTCTGTATGCAATATATATACGGAGTATATATGCGGGGTACGAAAAGCAGCAGTTATTTATTTAAAGTCAATAATTAATGTTTGCATCCCTGTATCTCTCGAATTTTATTTTTTTAGCAGAAAAGATTAAAATTGAATTCTTTTTGTGGCTAGAAAGTTCTTGATTTTCATGGCCTTCAAAGGGTTTTCGCCGCATATGAATTTTAATACGTCAATTTCTGACGTTTCGGATCTGTGTGGATCCATCTTCTGGGGTTGTAATACAGAGAACTAGATGACAAGCAAAAGATACACTTATAGAAAGTTCCCGATGATATCAGTTCCCAGTTGGATCTGAAAAGTCAGAAATTTGTGTATTAAAATATAAAGACTATGATTATCAAGATAAGTGTTTGAACGATTCATGATTCAGAGCACACACTGCAGATGGTAAAACTATGTTCAAACACTTGTCTTTATAACCATGGACCCATGATCGAAAGCCTGAAGTATTATTCCTGTGAAGATCAACTTCAAGTTTTCATTTTTTGTCAAATATGAAATTATGAAAGCATTTGTAAAGGCATAGACTTGAATAGGCTTCATTCTGGTCAAATCGAGCTTGTATTAAAACACATAATTAAACGTTGCCCCCTTTCGGTTCGCAGGAGCGACACTGTTATTTGCATGTCACTGCTCTCGAACAGTCTGATGAATGAAAAGCTATTAGTTATCTTCATTAATTGTTCTTTAACGTTGTCGTTTACAAATTTGCCGTCAGTTGCTACGGTGAAAAATGACCGTTTGCATGACGGTTTTTTGTTGCTTCCGTTATTTTGCGGATGTCAACTGCAGAGTTCAGTTTGGCGAACGAATACTTTCCTTGCCGAATTCGTGAGTGCTAATTTCTCAAAATTTCCCCGTGAAGCAGTCATTAAGCTTTTCCGTCGTTTATTCTTCTTTCCGACCTGTCGTTCTTACGTGAACGACTGTAAATTACGGATTTAGCGGGCACCGCCGTTTCGCTTTTCTCGAAAAAAAACTCCGAAATCAGACGATCCTGACGCTCGTTTGACCCTCATCTGTTGTTCCTCTAAGCCGTCGTTGTGAATTTCGTTCAGCAGCACCGCTGAGTGCACTGCGCCAGAGGAGAAGATCGCTACTCTAACGTACAAACTAGCAATTTGTATCTCTCGGCGTTTGGTCGGATGGTTCCAAATTGTTCATCGAAATCGTCATCTCTGCTGAATTCGCCGGCTTACGTGAAAACACATAATATTTGTGCTTGTCGTGTTCAACAACTTTTCACATTGCTTGCCGATGTCAGTCAGCCTTAACAGACCGATGAAAAGTTTTATGATCAGCATCGAATTTCGCGCCAAATACACATGTTGATTTGTATCGTTTCAAAAGTTTGGGTTATCGATTCAAAAGTTAAACGAATTGTACCAAATCAACTATTTGTTTTATACTCCGATAGCTTGTTGTAAACGCTTGTAACACTGGAAATTATGATTTGCATATGTCTGACGCATTTATGAGGTTAGGATTAAATTGGCACCCGATTTGGATTCAACTAAATCGTTATAATGCGCATTTAAAACTTATTACAGGGCTAGTGCAAGTATGTAAATAATTTAAAACGATGTTAAACCGAAAATTAATAAAATGTTACTTGCAACGGAAGCTTTCGAAACCTTGGTATGGTTACTTCATGGTCAGACTGATGAACATGGTGTCAAGCTTTCGGATACCCCGTGATAAATAAAATTATTTTACTATTGTTTTCTGGTTTAGCTTCAGGTTGAAGCTTTTCTTAAAATCTTTATATATTTACTCAGCGACCTCACGCCAAGACTCTCTCGGACGTCTGAACTTTGCGACATGCCGAGACGTGTCCTCTCAGAAATCCCACTTCAGCCGTTTCTACCCAGGATAGCAATCATTCGTTTACTGTCCATGACTCTTGACCATAGGTGGCAGCGGATGAAAACTGACTTGATCAGAGATAGCTCATTCTTCAAACTTTTATCATGTCCCAATAACGGGAGATGATTGGAGGATCTTTCTTCTTGAACAGAGGTAGTGCAGCCACGGTCCTTCAAACTACTGATGTCTTCCCATAGTCATTACAGTTTGACACACGCGTGATTGCCTCAGTTTGCTTTGTTGCCATGAGTTGCCTGCTATACATAAAACTTTGTCTTTCAAATTGATAATTCAAATCACTGTACTTCGATGTGACCAACCAGAAAACGGATGACATGTGGCTTATAAGAAAATAGACGAATAACAGGCATGGCGTGTTGTTTTGATGCGTGCATGTCAGAGCGTACGAAACGTACGACTTTTCCTTCTTCTTCTTCTTCGTTCACGGTCAGGTATCTTTTTTGCAAGCTAATCAACCAGCCAACCGATCGTGTGTTCACCGTTGACGCCTGTGACTAAGCTGTTGTTTTACCCCTGTGTGTAATCCGTCTGAAAATTACTTGGCTTTCCCGCTCCCAACTGACAGCTTAATTGATGCACTATTCATCAAACGCCGCGACGCAGTCCGTTATGCTCCTAGTTGACCTGTCACTAAATTGCAGATCAATCTGTGAGAAACCGAGGCGCAAAACCTGTTATTTAACCTAGACGGTTAATCGTTTGTTCCTACTCAGCAATGTGCTTACACCTTTCAACGACTAGACCAGAAAACATTGCCGATAAGTAGTACATGATCAGTTCATATTTTAGTTTTAATATTTTGACCTTAAATTCTGTTTTAAAGTTTTATAGCACTTTAACAGCTTTTCCTAAATCCGGTCTCGAAACGCCCTCGTCGACAATGGTCACAGTAACGGGTCGCAGCCAAAACCAAGCAACGTTAATTGTATTTTATTAGCTATCAGCTATTAACTTTGTTCTGAAACAGGTCATCATCCTGCTACCAATTTCTTAGCTAGTTGTTCTAAGCGTACGATGGGGAATTCGCTATAAACGAATTAATATGAAAAATTTGGATTCAAAACCGCACCTTTGGCATGCAAAGCCAAATGACCCCCTTCTGCGCTCTGTACCTCTTGCACCTTAAGTTAGTTTACTTTGATAATATTGACAGTTTCCCATTCTTTCAAAGAAACTGTCGCATCGGCAGAGATTTAAATTACTTCGCTGCTCAGTCCAGAGCTGTAATGTTTGGGATTTACCATTAATGCCAACCAATAGATTCCCTGTTGCTCCTCATTGTTACTCATTCTATGGCGACTCTATGTGTACTCAGAAGCGAATGCAAACTGCTGTGAAAAGAACATCTGCCAAAGCTAGCATGTTTCAGCCATAATTTCCAGCAATTGCCGCGGCGTCGTGCCAAAGTTTGATGAGGTAATGGCGCTTCTTGCCAATTCCCTCACAAGAAATTTTTCTAAATTTTAACATCATGGGTATTGAAGACTTCGTTTATTTCCGCATTGATCGCTTGGGGGAAAATTAAGCCAAGTGGCGGTTGTAAAATGAGGCGAATAAACTCACTGTTGGATAGAACTGTCGAAAGAAGTTCTGCGAAGACGATCTACAGCGTCTACGTGGAATGAATGCGCGGCTGTCTCGGAAGAAAGCACATGACTCGCGTCCGTGGTCTTTTGCGACTGCTTGGTCGACTCTGTTGTATCTGCGGCGCCAACGAGTTTGGATGCATTCTAGCCAGATGCAAGAAGACAGACAGTCTAACCTGATGCATCCATAGATTCAACAGTTGCTCTGACATGCTCTGTTCTAACCGACCCAACCTACCCTCTGTTCCGGTATTTCCAACAGGACTTTTCTAAGGGCCAAGTACAAGATCCAGCGAACTCTGAGACTTACCGAAGATCTGTTGTTGCTTTCCTCACACGGTGTCTGATTATTCCCAAGAAAGGGTGACAGTTTTTTGTACTAGACCTTAGCCAGATTGATTCAGTGCTTGTTTGTTGTTTTGTGTTTGTAATTTGTAATATCCAAGTTTTTGCAACTTTCGTCCGTGTCTTAGGGTTCATTAATTTATTCTGACTAACTTATTAGGGCCTAAGTCTCAGCCTCAACCTAAGCTCATTAATTTCAATCTACTGGAGACAGTGTAGATGCTTAGGTACTGGGGTAGTCTTAGCGATAATGCGGTTCGACGGAACCGCGAATTGGTTTTAATTTGCATCGGCATGTAATGAGTAGCTTGCATATTAATTTCTTTCTTTGCCGGTACTCATTAGCATGTAACATACATTCATCGAGTGTGTTTCCTCAGTTTACTTCACATGTAGAGATATATTTCTTTCTCTGCTTCTGTTTTTTCTTTCATTATTTCATTATGTACCTCATGATGTGTACTGTGAACCTCCTACTTTTAAATGTGCCGCAGGAAAGCAGATCAGTTTCTAAGCCAATGGCGTTTTCCTGTTATTGTTCTTAACGTGACTGCTGTGTATGGTAATAACCCATCATTGAAATTCTGCGAAACCTTAGGACTGCTAAGAACGATGATTTCGCGGTTGTATTAGAGCTAGTTGAAATTTCATTTTACCGTAATTATTGCATTAAATATGCCCAAGTTTCAATCACAAGCTTGTTTAAATATGGACCTCTTTGCTACTGCAGATTTCCGCGTTTCCACGCAATATCTAAATTATATTGGTCGCTGTTAAATTGACTGTCATTTCGTGCATTTATGCTTCGAACATTTCGTTTCAGGTATGTAAAAGATAAACGTCCGTCGATTTCTCCCAACTTTAATTTTCTTGGACAGTTACTGGAGTTCGAACAGCAGCTGAACTTGCGATGGCGCGGCGGCGACCTCCCCTACCACCGCATCCCCTGCCCATTCGTCCCCTCCACGCAATCTTCCAATCACGTTACCTCAGTGCACAGCAGCTCGATCGAGCGTGACCTTGAGGTGAAGCCCGCCGAGGTTTCGGTTTTTACCAGAACCAACGTCGAAGAGGGAAGCACGTTCTGCCGAGAGGATTTTGAGGAGTGGCGAACCGACTCTTGGTCTTCAAAGTTCTCCGTTTGTGATCGTGCAAACGTGTTCGCAAGCGGACTTTCCGGCAAGCGAACGACGACGACTGTGTGCACCAGCGAGACAAGCAGCCACCGCCATTTTCGTGACCCTACTCGATCTCCTGATCGGCCTGTTCACCGGTAAATTCACTTGTATTTTATTACGTGCCGTGTTTTTTTTTGCTTTACGT